TAATTGCCCTTTAATTGCTAACTCAATTTTTCTTTTCAGAATATTAACAACATATTATTATCTTGGTCAGTTTTCCTTTTATTTGTATGTTATTTCTCTTTATATAATAGATCTGTTGCTTGATGCTTACTCTACAAAAATTGATATGGAGGGGGCATTTCCATTTTAAACATGTTAATTAGGCTTAGCTGGGCTGCAAATCCATGATAATGGGAAATAAATTTGGCATTTTAGGCGATCTTGTGTGCAGAGGCTCAGTTTGACATCTCTCAACTGTATTGGACTACATTATTATCAATAAATTTAATAAATGAACAAAATAAATTAGACCACAATTGGAGTACAATGCAATGCAATGCAACACCGTGCAGTGCAATACAATGTACAGTAATACTGTGCAATGCAATCATTTCCAATTGATACTGGAATGATTGTAGATCAGAGGTGTCAAACTCTATTTCATTGAGGGCTGCATCAGGGTTGGGTTTGACCTCAGGGAGGGGGGGTTGGGCGTGGCCAAGGGGGGCATGGCCATCTTGACGTCACTCATGTTGGGGGCGCCTGGGGCGGCCCAAGCAGTCTATCAACAAAAAGGGGCTTCCCGGTCTCTGTTTTTGGCTGGGACTGCCTCTTGCAACGCTCTGCCAGCAAAAAACCCTCTGCAACCCTCTGTTAGTGAAAACAGCATGGGAGCATGAGGCCCTCCCAAGCTCCATTTTCACCGGTAGGGGGGGCAGGAGGCCATCCCAGCCGAAAACGGAGATCGGGAGTCTGTTTTTGCTGGCAGAGGTACCATGGGCCGGTTCTTCACTGTTTCCAGAGTGGCCCCATGGACCAGATCTAAGAACCCCATGGGCCGGATCCAGGCCATGGGCCTTGAGTTTGACACCCCTGTTGTGACTTGTGGCTCTACATTGCTGGAAAGTACCAATGCTGAGTACAAAGAATCCATCCTATTGGAAGGGCAGCTCCATTCTTTTATGGATATAGGGATTATTATTATTAGCTAATCTGTTTTTGTAACTATATATTAGATCCTGACTGCAACTATGGAAAAACCTAATTGCTTAGTGGATGTATCTAATTCACCATTGTGGCAAAAGAGATGCTGAATCTTGAAAGGATCTCATCTCCTTGCAAAAAGGAAACTCACAAATCCCTGTGTGGACAGTTCTTGAAAACCAGATAGGATCAACAGGTAGATCCTAAATGAGCTCAGAAGAGTTTAAACGTTAGGTTAGTTCCTGTCAGTTCATGATTCCCGACTCCATTTTGTTCTTTTGTCAAATCTGAGCCTCCTAATGTGCCTTGAGTGAAAGTGGCTCATTCTTTAATTATATTAGTAAAAGTGATCAGGATCATCATCAACAAAGTGGAGCATTGGAGTTCAGCCATCCTATACTAAGGCTGGCCAAGCCATTTGAACTGTCACTTTGCCAGGTGATGACATTCGCTATCATCTATACGTGTACACATATATTTAGATAAAATGGAGAAGCCACTGAAGTGGCTGTACAGAATCTTAGACAGGATATGGCACATTAAGAACCATGGGCTCTGAAGTAGTAGTAACAACAACAACAGCAGCAACAACAACAATGGCAACAAATTGAAAGGGACTGTGTAGGTCCTAGTCCAACCCATCGCTCAGACAGGAAACTATTTCTGACAAATGGTTGTCCAATCTCTTCTTTAAAAAGTCCAGTATTGGTGCGTTTCCACCCATTGCTTCTTGTCCTGCCCTCAGGTGCTTTGGAGAATAGCTTGACTCCCTCTTCTTTGTGGTAGCCCCTCGAATATTATGCTATCATGTCACCCCCTAGTCCTTCTTTTCATTAGACTAGAAACCAAACTGGTGCTTGGTTAATTTTCTTTTGGTTTCCCTCTTTAATCGGTTCACCTGGCATTCCCACAGCCCTTCTTAAAACCCTCCTCCAAATCTGATAGATGTCCCATAACCACCCAACCAAAATTTGACCATTTTATCATCCAATTTTCATGGCGCAATTTCAGGGGAGTGGATAAAGGGGCAATTAATGGGTTGTTCATTGTTATGCTACAGGAAGCATGCAGGAGAATAATATTTTTGTTTCTCCTTTTTCCTGAAACGCCTTGCGGCTCTTCAAAAGCTGTTTTGGGTGGCTGGGCATCCTTCTGGATAGAAGAGGCCCAAGTTCAATCGCATGGATTCTTCAGCAATTCATGATCCACTGGCCATAATGGGATAGTAGATTGTACATAGAAAGTTAAAGATTCCCTGTGGGTTCCCTCTTGTTCTATAATGATATATAAGTTAAAGATTCCCTCTTGGTCTATAATTCTGCCTTCTTATCATCTAAGAGTTTTTAATTTGAGCTTTCTTCTATTTTATTACTCACGCACACCTACACAAAGCATGTGGTCTTTGATTCTTTGCCTGATAGAATGGAGTCACCTGACTCTATAAACCATTTCATTAATTATGACAGGTTGTCCTCAATTTATGACCCCAACTGACCTGAACATTTCTGTGGCTAAGTGAAACATTCATTAAGTTAATTTTGCCCCATTGCATGACCCCTCTTTTCACAGTTGTTAAGTGAATTACTGGAGTTGTAACATGGCTGCTTCCTCATTGACTTTGTAAGAAAGTCACAAAAGGGGATTAAGTGACCCTGGGACTTTGCAACTGTCATAAATATGGACCAGTTGCCAAGCCTCTGAACTTTGATCCTATGACCTTGGGACTCTGCAACTGCCATAAGTCACTTTTTAAAGTGCCATTGTAACTTTGGTCACTAACTGTTTGTAAGTTGAAGACTATCTGTACTCTACTTTCAGGAATATTCACATGCATTCAGAATATACAGCAGAGGTGCTTCAGGGCAGGCAATAGAAAAAGGTATAAATGATGATTGCTGGCCTGATTCTTCCAACATGGATTTTTTGTTGCATCCTAGCATCTTTGATAAATAGATGGATCTTTTTCATGAATGGGATAGCCAGTCAGGATGGAACTGAATCCAATGAATATTCATTAGGCTCTCCATGGCTTCTCTTGGCAGTTCAGTCTCATTTAGATGCTGACTATCTCTCAAGAAATAGAGATTCAACCTCTTCAATAGAGATTCAAGAGATTCAGAATATTTCCACTGAATGCAGCAATTAAAGCCAAAATTCTAGGTAACAAATTTTGAATAGTAAGCTGAAATGGATCCAAGTTTGATCAAATTGGACTGCTGGCTAAGTAACTGAAAAGAAGTTATCTATGCAAAAAGCAGGACAAATAAGAATAAAACAGGTCTGGGGGAGAATATTAGAGTCCTCAATCCCCCTTTCTTCATAAAGAAACAAACTGACATCAAAATCAAGCACCAACAAGCACATTTCCAGGGAGTTACTTTCCTATTTGCCATTTGAAAACTGCACTAGATGGCAACCTACTCCCAAAATATTTGTGTCACTACTGCAAATCTGCGAATTTTAAGGACTGCAGTGATAGGGAAGAAAATAAAGTGCTGTAACTGAAATATGGTTAGAAGAAAGAGGACCAGAAAAGAAAAAGGATACTTGCTGTAACCCACAAGCTTGATTAGTACACTGAAAATATATAATACAAAGTGTGGTTTCACTAGCAGTTGGGAAAAGAAAGTATGAACGATGGCATAGCAGATTCAGGATGAAATGTTTGAAGATCCTTCTGAAAAAAGATTAATTATGGAAAATCTTTAGATGAATTAAGAGTAAACCCAGAAGACTAAGCGTGTTTGGAATTATGGGAAAATACACTCTTGGATTACAATTTAGATTGTAACTATTGAGACTGGAGTTTTAAAAATAATATCTAATGAAGGAATGTGGAAACTGAGGGATGATTATACATATAGTAAACACATAATCATATTTATTGACATTGATGTAATGCAATTCAGTTCAGTATTTTCCCCCAGGGAAAAAACATACTATAGCTGAGGATTCCCACCTAAATATGACTTAATTAGTGGGAACACTAATTAAGAAAGAAAATAATTCATAAAACTTTCTTCTCATTTGCCTTTCTTAATATGACAACTTCATTCTCCAAAGCTTGAAAATTTTTCAGAATATTTCATTTATTAGCTTGTATGAATGGTTTTATTCATATTTTTGTATATTAGTCACTGGAGTAACCACTCATATATAATTTAATTTTGTTGATAATTTTACTCATCACCTGTATTGTGTGTTTCTAAAATTATTCATTGCTTCAGTGTTTTATATTTTGATACACATTTTGTATGTTGTTTCTGTGAATTTTATACACCATGCCGCATTTGCTACTCCATATGAAATAATAATCTCTGGACAAAGGACGTTTAAGAAATGTTTTCAATAAACAAACCAGTTAATTACATACACACAAAGAAAGACATATTACTTGAGAGAAGATATATTTTAATTTGAGTAAAGCATGGTGGAAATAGTACTCCTTTGGCTGTCTACGAGCTCCCTAATTCACCATTCATCAGTCAGACCCATAGCTTTGACTCTGATTGGAGCCTAGAACCAGTAACTTCCTCTCCACACCCCCTTGGCAAATCATTGGCAGCTTTGGCACTGTCTGTAGCCAGGAGGAAGGTTATAGTAAAGCCCCCCCCAGGCAGAGCTACTCAAATGTGAATTTAAAGATCTTGTTTGCATTCATTACAAACTCATTTAAAACTGGCTGGCTGAGATCAGGACAGGGCTAGTCTGAAGGTGGAGCTGACACTTGTTCCCTGGCTGCCTCTGGAAGAGGTACTTGTGGATTGTCTGGGTCAGGGACAGGTGAAGGGCTACCCTGGATTTATTTATTTCCTTCCTTCCTTCCTTCCTTCCTTCCTTCCTTCCTTCCTTCCTTCCTTCCTTCCCTTCCCTTCCCTTCCCTTCCCTTCCCTCATTCCCTTTTTTTCAGATTCTAGTTCAACCTCCCTTTATGAATAAGTCTGTCTACATTAGATTAGCTTGATGTCAATTTTGCTTTCCGAAAGGTAGAGGTTACAATGGCTGAAGAAAAAACATTTCGCTATGGACTTATTGTCCTGGGATTCTTTCTGGTCATGATCGGCATGTTCATAATGAGTGTGGAGAAACCACAAATCTATATCACCTTCTGTACCCTGGGAGTCTTGGTCATTGCTGTGGGCATCATCTGGAGCATGTGCCAGTGCTACCCAAAGGTAGGTAGCATGTTTTTTTTTTTAAAAAATGCTTAAAACAATAGTTAACACCTCTTTCTTTCTTTCTTTCTTTCTTTCTTTCTTTCTTTCTTTCTTTCTTTCTTTCTTTTCTTTCTTTCTTTCTTTTCTTCCTTCCTTCCTTCCTTCCTTCCTTCCTTCCTTCCTTCCTTCCTTCCTTCCATTCTCTCTCTCTTTCTTTTTCTCCTCCCCCCTCCCCCTGTCTTTCAAAACAAATGTAAGGATATTGTTTTCTGTTGGAGTGATAACTTAAATCTACTGCCTGGGTATCTAGAATTACACTGAAAACATGTTTTTGAATGTATTAACGTAACAATAATAACAAGTCTCTATATGTTGCATTTTCAGCCTGTCATTTCACAAAGTTGGCCCAAAGATGCTTTTTCAAAAGGCAACTGGACTTTCTTTCTTTTTTTTCCCTTTAAAGATGTTTTGCTTCTCATCCCGAAAGCTTCTTCAGCTCGGATGTGAAGAAGCTTCTTGGATGAAAAGCAAAATGTCTTCAAAGAAAAACCAGGAAGTCCAGCTGCCTCTTGAAAAAGCACTTTTGGGACAACCGTACCTGGATGACTGAGAATCTCCATAGACCTTTACATAACTGAAGTGATAGCTAGGGATTAGGTGTAGAGAATTGTTCAGGATGGACTATCTAATTAACTATTATTGAGACTGAAACTTTGTATAATATTGTTTTTGCCAATGAAATGTGTGCTGTACATGTGTGAATCTATTAATTTGATTGAAACGAAGGAAGGAAGGAAGGAGGGAGGGAGAGAGGGAGGGAAGGAAGGAAGGAAGGAAGGAAGGAAGGAAGGAAGGAAGGAAGGA